ACAGGTCCCTGAGGCTGCCTTTTTTCTGAGATGGACTTTCACTCTTGTTGCCCAGGTTGGAGTACAATGGCGTGATCTCGGCTCACAGCAACCTCTGTCTCCCAGGTTCAAGTGATTCTCCTGCCTCAGCCCTTCAGGTAGCTGGGATTACAGGTGTGCAGTACCACATCCAGATAATTTTTGTATGTTTATTAGAGACAGGGTTTCACCAAGTTGGCCAGACTTTTCTAAAACTTCTGACCTCAGGTGATCCACCCTCCTTAGCCTCCCAAAGTGCTGGGATTACAGTATGAGCCACCACACCTAGCCCCTGAGGCTTTTTTATTTTTATTTTTTCCAGTCTATCTCTCTGTGCTTTCGATGGAATATTTCCTATTGTTCTATTTTGAGGTTCACTAATTCTTTCATCTATTCCCTCCATTCTGCTGCTGAGCCCATCCATGGAGTACTTTTAAATGTTGCTTTTTATATATTTCTGTTCTAACATTTCCATTTGGTTCATCTTTATAATGTCAATTTACTTGCTGAGGTTTTCTATTTTTTTTTATTTGTTTCAATCACATTTGGTATTGTTCTTTGAAGCATTTTTATGAAAGTTGCTTCAAAATCTTTGTCAGGGATTCTAAAACCTGTCACTCAGCATTGACATCTACTGATTTTCTTTTCAAGTGGAGACTTCCTGGTTTTTGTATGACAAGTAATTTTTTGTTGAAACATGAATGTTTTCATTATTATATTCTGAGACTTTGGATCTTCCGGAACCTTCCATTTCACTTGACTTCCTTTGACACCACTCTGGCAGGGGAAGGGAGGGAACTACTTCATTATTTCCAAGTAGACTGGAAGTACAGACTCCGCACTTGGTCTCTGCTGACCCCTGAGGGTGTGTGCTCCTCATTACTGCTAGGTGGGTATGGAAGTTCTGCCTCCCAACTTGTCCCCTATTCACACCTCCTTGGCTGAGGTGAACATGAGTTCCTTTTTATTGTTCCCCACGCAGCCTAGACCGACACCCCTCAGGTAGTCTCACTACTGCTGGGCCTGGTGAAAGTCCTAACTCTCTTTGAAGCCTCCTTTGACACCACCCCAGTGGAGAAGCAGACTGGCACTCTGTTACTGTCAAGTGAGGCGGAAGTCCATGTTCCCCATATGGTCTCCACTGAGACCACTCGGGGTCAGGATCACTACTTCTTGGCAGGGATGAAAGTCATGGCTTCCATCTCAAGCTGGCACCGCTCAGTTAGGGGGTGTGGGTGGGTGCTATTGCCTGGAGACTGTGAAACTATGAGCTCCTTCTTGACCTTTCCTGACCTGGGTGGGGGTGAGGCCACTGTTTTTTCTGTGGCATTTGGTTTGAGTAGATTACGTTTTGTTTAAAAGTGTTATTTTTGTTATGCTGCCCCTTTCCTAGTTCTTTAGCTAGACAGAGTAGGGCTTGGGTGGAGGGAGAGATTTAGTCTGTGCCAGTTAACATTTCTGAGTTGCTGGCTTCTTCATCTCCAAGTCTTAGATACATGAAGCAAAATGAAAACACAGGGAACTCACCATCCCATTGTTTCTAGGTCCCTGTGTTCCTATATATATATATATATATATATAGACAGTTACAGTTAACAGGAAAAATGTCCACTCCATCTTCTGAAAATAGAAGTAAATTGTGATTTTAAAATGTAAAGTATCACAAAATGTACATAATGATAGTGCAAATTTGAAAGTCCCTCATCCATGGGAAAAGACAACTGTTTTATAGCCATGGTAACAAATAAACGCCAGAACTGGTTTTAATCCTGCCTGATCCATCGATGACAACACACCTTAATCCAATCAATTAATGACTGAAAACACCACAGGAAGTCAGCCGGTTAGTGACACTATGCTCTAAGAGAGTGGCAGCTTCCTTCCAGCGAACGTACTTCTCAGTCCTGCCAGTTCATCACAGTTGTGCCTAATAATCTGTTTCTAAGGCTGTTGACAGCCCACTGCTATCACTGTAACCAAGACAACCGCAACCAACATTAACCTGATACAGTTTTAGACTAACATGCAGCTCTGCTCAGTGAGACTGTCCTGAATAAGCACAGCACTTCCTTAATTAAGTAAGCAATAAACTCAGCTTTTTTTCTGTTTTGAAGTTGTTTATTCTTTCTTGGACAAAAGATAGTCTGTAATGAGGATGGGTTATGTATCCTTCTGATTTAGAAAATGAAAGTTCACCCAGAGGACCCAGAGCCCTTCTTCTCTATGTTAGGCTCTTTGCCGTCTACCCTTTGCCTAGCTCCCTTCACTCCCAAGCATGGTTAGACTGCTAAGAAACGATCATTAGTTAGAGGAATTAACAAACTTGATGCAGTAATTAAAAACAAACAAAACAAAACAAAACAAAACTTTCACTTCTTCATTTGGAAGAAACATTCTCCTTTCCCTGGTTCCATATGGCTGTGTGGGTCAGTAAATTCAGACCTCATTATAGACTCTCTCTCTCTCTCTCTCTCTCTCTCTCCCCCCCTCGCTGCCCGTCTCTGTCTCTCAGTTTCTCTACCTCTGTCTCTGTCTCTCAGCTTCTCTCTCTCTCTCTCTCTGTGGTGTGTGTGTGTGTGCGGTGTGTGTATCTGTAGTCACATCTAGACATTATCTCTAAGGAAATAAAATAAAATTAGAATTAGAATTAGTAAATCATTTGTTCCTATCTAATTTTTGCCAAAATTTTATGTCAGGAAATGTGAAAAAGTTGAAGAGTTAATACATTTTTACATTGGTATTGATTGGAAGGCAGGTTAAAGCATTAATGCAACTCTGGAATAATGTCTTCTAAAGTCCTTCCACCTCTCTGTATCTCCCTATAAGGCAAACCAGCAAGCGCTACACTGCCCACTTCTGTCAGGAAGAGATTAGAAAGGATAAAGGGGCAGAAAATAAGCAACAGATTTATTTGTTTATCAGCAGTAGGTAGACCATGCCTGGAAAAATGAATGGACTTGTGGACTTCTCTTCCTAGACCATATAGTAGAAATGGGATGGATGTATTGAGCTAGGTCCATGCTGTCTATATCAATCCAAACATACAGTTATTGCTTCCCCTTGGCTGAACATGGAAAATACATGAAGATAGATAAATTAGGACTCTTCTGTTAATATACTGTCACACCAAATGTGGTAAGTGCCATATTGACATTAACGGTCTTCTGAAAGTGGAAAATAAGAAAACATCATTTCTGAAGGGGTGTAAACCAGAAGGCTGCATAGATGAAGTAATATTTGTGGCTTTGAAGGATCCATAGAATTTTAACAGCAAAATATACAAGAAAGGTAAGTAGGTAAGAATGATGTGGGATTGTGGAGTGAAGTGTGGTTCTGGTGGCTGGGCCCCCTTAAATCTAAATCAGGATCAAGAAAGACAAGAGATGACACAGGGCAGGCAGGTTGCAGCCATATTATGACCTGCTTTGCTTAAAAAGATAAAGAAATTTGACCTGATCTACAGGTAATGAGAAGCCATGGAAGAGAAGTGGGCATGAGCAATCTGGTCATACTCTTGTCTAGAAACTGGAAAGGAATAGGTAGATACCAGAGGCGGGGAGCCCACTGGAAGACCACTATTCCAATAGCGCAGGTGAAAAATGAGCTGTGAAAGCTGAGGGGTGTGTGAGAGATTTCAGAGATGGGATGAAGGAGATCTCATTCATTTAGGATTTAGAAGGAAGGATCACATTAATGGTTCACGGTAGAAGGCAAAATTAAGTTATTTAGGATTAAAGGGAGGAGACAGATTTCCAGCCTTGACAGCTGGATGAACACTATTCAGTTAATCAAGCTAGAATAGTTCCACTGAAAAACAACTGATCAAAAGAAGCTAAATAGAGGGCTTCCTATTTTCATCCCATTTATCAAAAAGTTGTTGTTCTACACTTGGTATGCTCTTTTCTAAATGCATGGGCTTTCAAATTCTAACGTTCACTCCACTTTTTGCCTTGCCTGACTTTGGACAAAAATGCCAATCTGCTGCTTTAAATAAGAGGTAAAGTCACAATAAATAATCTTTGAATTTTACTGTTTTGCTGTTGAATACATAAGCATTCATAACAACACAAACCTGAAGGCTACTATTTGATACAAATAAGATAATATTGAAATTGAATTTTGCACCTAAGAGTCACATAATGAAAAATTTTGCTATCTTTCTTCTCTGCAGCCAAGTTCCAGGCTCCTGTCTTATAGAGAAGTTGGCTGCCTCATTCATGTTCATCTCAATTTCCTTTATCTTTTAAATTCTTAGCACTCACTTGTTCTGGGAAGCATGACATTTGGGGGATGGTTATTCCCTCCACATTTGCAGCCCTGATTGGAGTTTAGTCCCGGTTAAGCATCTGGGCTCCATCTTCAGAAGCTTTCACAATATGACCCGGTTTTTCTCCTAAAATGACTTTGTTATCATCCCGAATGACAAAGTCCCAAGGCTTCTCCAGACCTTTATAGGGGATTTAAAAGTAACTGCTGTTGAAAGTTGCAGAAAATGCCAAAGAAATCATTAACTCACTGCAGTGAGTTGCCAAACAAACAGAATTGCTGGTGTCCCACAGACTTCAAAGTGCTTTTTAGCTTATGACTAAAGGTACTAAGGGAAATATTGGATGGGATTTTAGGGCTTTTTTTTTTCTTTAGTTGTTATTGTTACAATTACACTTACATTTCCAGAGCAGTTCTATGAGAAAATCCAAATTCTCAGGAGATTTGAAATCTGATCAAAAGAAAAAAAAAAAGAGAATATATTGGATGTTTTTGTTCAAAAAATCCATCGCCCAGCCACAATTCTAAAAAGTATCAAAAGAGGATATTTTGTATATGATTGAGTATGTTGTGTATGTAAATCCACAAACATTTCAAAAGGGAGGACTTCTCAATATTGGTCAAGTTACTTGACCTCTTTGAGCCCCAATTGCCTCACCTTTATAACGTTAACCACAATTATTTGTTGTAAGATAATATATAAGTTTCTCTGACAGTGTCCAGGCAGTATTTGATGAGAACAAAGTGACAAGCAAAGACTAAAGTGAAAAGCATACATAAAAAAGTAAGCCTCATGCAATGGGCCTATGGCACCTGGCTTGGTGCGGCTGCACCTTCATTTCAGCAACACCAGTATGTGCAAACTAACATCTAGCTCTGACCTGCTCATTGGAAAGGAAATCCATGGACAATGAGCAGAAGATCTTCTAGGATATAATTAGACGGCCTGCATTCCTATCTCGACCCTATTATCAGTTTTGTGACCATGAGCATGTTAATTAACCTCTCTGGGCTTCACTTCCCTTGTCTGTAAATCAGTATATTAATAGTAACTGGCTTAGAAGACTGTTTTAAGCATCAATAAAGACTTAGCACATAGCATAGTCCCTGGCACATTTAAAATGTGTAGTTATTTATTTTCAAGTTGACATTCATGTCCTTCCACTGCAGTTATTTTGAGGGACCTCATTATTTTTCCCCAACAATGGTCTTACTGTGCCTGCATCTCATTTCATAGGAGGAAAAGAACACTTACTGGCCCGGTGCGGTGGCTCACGCCTGTAATCCCAGCACTTTGGGAGGCCGAGGCGGGTGGATCACGAGGTCAAGAGATCGAGACCATCCTGGCCAACATGGTGAAACCCTGTCTCTACTAAAAATACAAAAAATTAGCTGGACATGGTGGTGCATGCCTGTAGTCCCAGCTACTGGGGAGACTGAGGCAGGAGAATTGCTTGAAACCGGAAAACAGAAGTTGCAGTGAGCCAGGATAGTGCCACTGCACTGCAGCCTGGCGTTAGAGCGAGACTCTGTCTCAAAAAAAAAAAAAAAAAAAAAAGAACACTTACTGCAATGACAGATTTTATTGGGCCAGACTTGCCAAAATAACAACCAAATATGTGATAAGTATGTGTGCACAGGTCACTGATAGAAAGATAAAGAGAGGGAAGAAAAGGGGAAGACAAAGAGGCATTCTTATTTTGTAAATATAAGAAAATACATACTTTTTTTTACACAAAATAACTACAAAACAGAAAAAGAAAATCACTAAGTCCACATGTCTAAAAATATCTCAATGCAGAATATCAATATCAATTGCTTCACACCAATGACTCATAAATTGTGAGAGGAATTTATAGGAAATAGCATTTGAATATGAGTAGACAAACTAAAATACATATGCTGATCATATCATAATGATACTGCTTTCAATATTTAAGGAGATATTTACATCCATTTTATTTGTAGTTACTGTTGTTTGCTAACATTGACCTAAATGTCTTGCTTAGATTTCTCTTTAATATTCATCCTAAATTCATACTTTACTTTCATTTTACACACACACACACACACACACACACACAGACACACAAGCCAGGCACACAAATGATATAATCCATATTATTTGTCTGAAAGTTGTTTTGTCTCCTGGAACTTTTAGTTTATATTGTATTTTTGGAATAATGAGTTTGTATGTGTATAGGCATGAAAGCATCTGTCTGGATACTCCAAGTGTTGGAGCCATCTTTCCCCAGAAGACGAAGTCAGCACAGAGAAGAGGCCACGAAACCACAGGCAGACCTGGTTTCCTAATCACTAAACAAAATCCCTTTGAGCTTTCTTTACTTATATAATGCAAAATCATTTCAGCCAATTTCTGTTTGGATTTTTTACTATGCACACCATTACCACTAAAGATGGCAACCTGAGTGATCTAGAGAAGGCCCTTTACACACACACACACACACACACACACACACACACTCACTGCACTGGATTTACAAAGAGTAACGTTCAAATTAAAAGTCTATCCTAACAGGAAGAAGTAATGTTGAAATTCTAGAACCCACTTTAATGAATGTAATAATGTTATGCCAGAAATCATTAGCAAAATTCCAGGTTGCCTGATGAGAAAAGAGTCACACAAAACCATCCATAGGAAAACTGAGTCTAGTTCATGTGTTACCTTCTGTCTCCTGATTCCAGACCTTATCTTCCTCTGATGCACAGATGGTTCCCAACTCCAACAGACCAGATGCTTGGCCGTTGACAAGATTCTTATTTCAGTCAATAAGACCCATCCCATATTTTTCACTATATAGTAAAGAACTCCCTGTTATTTCTGTGTCTTCAATATGTGTGTTTTGCCATCAAGTTCTTACAGAACCTGGCATAATACGCTAAAGAAGCAGGGACCCTGCACCATGACCATGGAGTAAAATATTGATGGATATGAAATGACAACTTGGTTCGTACTTTGGAGCAATACACTAGTTCAGGAAAGTGCGTATTTGTTACATCGGCCACAGAGATCTGACTGAGGACATTAAAGCCAAAAGGTGTATCAAAACCAATTACTTGTTCTTCTATGTTCTGTTAATGACAGTGATGGTGGGGTAAGTGCAAGGTGTTAGATATTGTGCTCTAAAACTTAATTCTGTTTTAACACCAACTAACGTCGATATGGTGGCTCAATACTGATGCATGATGCCCACCTCCTAAATCTAGCAAAGTAGGCTGGAAGCATACCCATATTCTTAGGAATTCCCTCCTAGATGAAGGTCACAAATCAATCAACACACTGGTACATTGACAATGTATATTTCTCCTCCATCCCTCAACAACAAGAAAACTCATAGTCTCTTTCAAAGCAACATTACCATAGAGCGTCTGAACAAGAAGTCAGTCTTTTGAGGAGGAGCTTCCTAGTGCTATGCTACTCTTTCTGAGATGAGGATGAAATAAATGTATGGGATAGTTAACTTGTGGCTTCCCTTACTCAGAAACACTCTTAGCTTCCTTTCCATAAGCAATTTCTTCCCCTGAAACAAGAACAGATTCTTTAATGATCTCAGGAGTTACTCTGAGACAGAAAATTTTATAGAAACTTTAAAAGTTTTACAGAAAATTTTTAAAAATGGAAGTGACTGAAAATCAAAATACAATGTGTTAAAATATGTAGAATGCTGCTGAAGCAACTCTGAGAGGAAAATTTATAGCACCAAATTCTTACATTTGAAATGAGAAAAGGCCTTAAACCAATAATGTAAGTTCCTACCATAAAAATCTGAAAAATAAAGACCAAAAAGCAAATAAGCAAACAAGAGAGAAAATAAAGAAAAGGTCGGAAATCAATAAACAAAGATAGGAAAATAACAGAGAAAAACAATAAAATGAAAAGCTGGTTCCTGGAAAAGTATCATTGAAACTGATTATTAATATGTAACAATATAAAAAGAAAAAAAAGTCAACAATAAATGAAATTGGAGATATCACTAAAAACACTGTAGCCATTAAAAAGATAATAATAAGGGATGATTATGAAAAAAATATATGCTGATGAACTTGGAAACTTAGAAAAAAATGAACAGTTCCTCAAAACCCACAAACAACAAAAACTAAATCAAGATGAAATAGATAATCTGAATATTGCCTTAAGTTTTACAGATTTCTTTTAAAATAGTTCTTTGTCTTATTGGCACCTTCCTTTTCATACCCAGGCTGGTTAAAACCAAATAAAACAACACAGCGAAACTCAGATGCTCTACTTCAACATGCCTTACCTTTTCGCATGACTTAGTAGAACAGCTTGCAGTGTATACCTATAGGAGGTCATACAGTTGTGTGATCTGTTACCTATTATTTCAGAGTAACCTGCAGAATACCTGTAAAGTTAGGGAGAATCTGGCAGTCCTCTACACTTTCATCATTCTGTACAAAGACTCCTTTATACTTTCATCATTATTTGTGTAGAAGGAAGAAAATAGAGAGCTCAGATCACACCTCCTACTGAAAACACAACCTCAACTGTGTGTGGGGTCTGTTGTAGAATCCAGTTCAGTGTTCAAAGCCGCATCAGTCCTAAGAGTTTTTTCTAATCATTAAGAAAGACCTGCATAACAGAGTTATGGTAGAGGCTTCATTCTAGTGCTCACACAAGTGAGGTCCAGTCTGCCTGATAAAGCCTTCTCACTTCCAGGGGTGTTAAAAGTCTGTATCTTCTCTTAAGAAAAAAAAAAAAACAGTCATGAACAAGTCAATAAACTGCCCTGCAATTCACCTTTGCAAAATTTGGTGAAATGTTGAAATCAAAGTAGAAGTTTGCTCAGACTCCTAGCAGAAACAAACCAACCAAAAGACCTATTTACAGGAGGATGAAAGTGTGAGCCTAGACGTCAATATTTCTATAACATCTATATCTAGATTCTAGATTCCAATATCTAGAAAAGAGCAAAAGGCAAATTGTAATACATGAAGGCAAGAAATATGAGTGGGAGCCCATGGGTAGGTTAGCAGAGGACAGAAATTGATTGCATACACTTAGATATTAAAATGAAAAAATTCTGATTATAAAACAAGTCAACTTACTATTTACAAAAGAATACAAGCCAAGCTTTTAACATGGAAACAAGAAACCAGAACAAAGTGACATTGCAGATTTGGGAAAGAACCAAGCAAAAATTCTGGAACTGAAAATACTAAGAATGAAATTAAGAACACAAAAGAAAGCTAATAAACACAACTGAAGAGATTGTAGTAAACCTGAATGTGGAACGAAAGCCCATAGAGAGACAGAAATTTAGAAGCTACGAATAAAGGGCAAAATATAGACAAGGAATGCAGTGGCCAGTCTAACCTATATTTAGTTGGCATCCCAGAAGGAACAAATGAGGCAGAGGTGATTTTTTTTTTCTGAAGTGGTAATGGCAGCAAATATTCAAGAACTAATAAAAGATACCACTTCATAAATTCAAGAATCCCCAGAAACCAACACAATTCCCATATAGACACACTATGTTATAGAAAGAACTAGGGCAGTAAGAACAGACATCAACACTGAGGTTTGCAGCAAAAAAAGGCAGGCATTTATTTGCAGATGCCAAACAAAGAGGACCAGGCAGCTCATGCTTAAGTGTTGACCTCCCTGATTCCTTAAAAGTAAAGGTTTTTAAAGGTAGTGTAATGGCCCAGTGGGTTCACCTTGCCTAGACAGAGCCAATTTATCAAGACAGGGTAACTGCAATAGAGAAAGAACAATTCATGCAGAGTTAGCTGTGCAGGAGAGAGGAGGAGTTTTATTATTACTCATCAGTCTCCCTGAGCATTTGGGAAACAGAGTGTTTAAAGATAACTTGGTGGGTTGGGAGAAGCCAGTGCATTTACCAAGGCGCACGAAAAAGCCAGTGAGCTACGACTGCTGATTGCTTGGGTCAGAAATGAAATCACAGGGAGTCGAAGCTGTCTTCTTGCCTGGAGTCTGTTTCTGGATGGGGGCCACAAGAGCAGATGAGCCATTTCATCAATCTGGATGGTGCCAGCTGAACCATCAAGTGCAGGGTCTGCAAAATATCTCAAGCATTGATTGTAGGTTTTACAAT